TAAGGCATTTTCCCTCTTGTATTCAAAAAAAAAAAAAAAAGGCTGAAACAAAGTCTCGTCTAAATGTCACTTGTAGCAGTTGGTATAGTACAGAACGCTTTCTGAAAGACAGCAGTTTATCAGTGAAGTGCATTACAGGCTCATCATGTGCTGCATCTCTATAATACTGTGGATCATATTGTATCACTCCAAAGAGACTTGAAGGTCCTTTACTGCACACCCCCACATGACTATCTTGTCTTGAGGGAATGTCTGTCTGCTGCTCTGTTCCTGTGGCGTCTCTTGGTTATCTCAGTGTTTGGGTTCGCATTTGTGCGTGCTTCAGTTGGACTAAAACCGGCTCTTCACTGAAGGCAGTACTGTATCATTTCTTCACTTCCCCTCTCATGCATAACATAAATTAACTCTGTCATCATTTACTCGCTCTAGTGTCATGCCAAACCAAATGACTTTCTTTCCTCTGTGAAACATTAAAGGAGAACTTCTGAAGAATGCACAGGATGCTCTTTTCCATGCGATTAACAATCAAACATTTGGGATTAATTACGATTTTTTTTTTTTAAAGAAGTCTCTTATACTCACCGAGGCTGAATTTGTTTGATCAAAGATACAGTAAAAATAGTAATAATGTGATATATTATTACAATTCAGAATAACTGTTTTCAATTTTAATGTTTTAAAATGTATTTGACACAAAGTTGAATTTTCAGCATCATTACTCCAGTTTTCAGTGTCACATGATCCTTCAGAAATCATAATAATATGCTGATTTGGTTCTCAGTTATTGTCAATTATTATTAATGATTCTTATTAGTATCAATGTTGAAGCTGTTTATGCTGCTTAATATTTTTGTGGAAGCCCCGATACATTTTTTCAGGACTTTTTGAGGAATAAAAAGTTCAATGCACAGCATTTATTTGAAATATAAATCTTTTGAAACATTATGTCTTTTACTGTATTTTTAAATCAAATAAATGGAGACTTGGTAAGCACAAGAGACTTCTTTGGAAAACATAAAAAAAAAGTCAGAATTATTTCAAATACATTTGGACGGCAGTGTACTTATTTTTATACTATATTCCAGAACTTCTAAACCAATACATTTGAAAAAAAAACTAAAAAACATTTCAGAGTCAAAATCGCAGATCAGTCTGATTCATGAACAAATCATTCAAACTGGTTCTGTGCTGTGATTCAATAAAAAGATTCAATTCTTCAAAACTTTTCTCATTAACATAATACTGGGCTTCATGTGGAACACTTTTTAATAGTGCGGTCAAATGATTAATCATGATAAATCTCATCCAAAATAGTTGAGGTTTTTATGTAATATATGCGTGTGTACTGTATATATTTATTATGTATATATAAATACACACACATGCACGTATATATTTAAGAGAAATATGTTGTTTATATTTTTAAGATATTTATATATAATATAAATTATATGAATATAAATATATACATGTCAATATTTTCAAAATATATACTGTATGTGTGTAATAAATATACACAGCCCACACACATACATTATGTAAACAAAAACATTTCTTTTGGATGCGATTAATCGCAATTACTCGTTTGACACCACTACTTTTTAATGATTTTATGGTGCTTTTTCGAAGCTTCAGTCAATATTCGGTGAAAAAACCACCAGAGCTCTGCTTCCACAGAACAAACGACGTCAAATGTCATGAGGCTTCGTAATTGTTTCATTTTTGCGCCAACTGTCCCTTTAAGAGCATATAAAGAAGAGGTGACATCCATCAAGGTTTTTTAGCTCTGCTCCGCTGCTTCTGTTTGCGGAGGTGCGCCTCGATCTCGTGTCTGAAGAGCAGCATGCCCAGCTGGCCGTGCGAGGCCTCGTTCATGGCTTTGGACTGCATGCACATCTTGTACTGGTCCGGGGGCAATCCGTCAGCGCAGCGCTTCTCATGCCACAGGTGGAAGAGGCCGCGGGACGGGGCGCGCACCACCAGCAGGTTACTGTGGAGGTACTTCCTGTACAGGTGGACGTCCTCGCCGCCCCAGCCCTTAATGTCCACATCGAAACCACCTGCAAGAGGAGGAGACAGTCAGAATGTGTGTAATGACCGTGAACATTATGTCGTTTCATGGATTAACTCAAGCAGTACGGAGGTGGAGCTCTAGCATTTAATGCATTTATCTTTCTCAAGATACTGAAATCATTATAAAATACTATTAAAATAATTACATGCAATTATTACAACTGTTTGTTCCCTCACAGACTCGACGTTCAGTATGCACTGTAAAAATGTTGTCAGATAACCTCAACATGTATTCTACTATTCTTATAGGCATAGTTCACCCAAAAATTTAATTTTTGTCATTATTTATTCATCTTTACTTCATGACTTTAATTCTTCTGCGGAACACACAAGAAGTTATTTTGAAGAACATGTTTGTTCCCATTGACTTCCATTATAATTTTTGACCATACAATGAAAGTCAATGGGAACCAAAACTGTTTGGTTACTAACGTTCTGTCAGGACCACTATCGTTAATATAACTTACGATTAGCATACATTTTAGGTTGGGGGAATGGTTCTGTTCTGGACCAGTGGTCTGATTCAATGATATATTCACTGCCAAGTCCTGACTGGACGAGAGGAGGAGCTGGGGATGGAGGTGGGTGATTAGTTCTTGAGTGAAGCGATAGCTGCTGTATAATGACTGAAGGGACCTTATGAAGGGAATTATGATTGGTGTCGTGATCCCATAGGTAGACGTGGATCAGCTGAGTGTCAGCTGATGCGAGCTTGACTAACATGGCCTGCCAGAACTATCGCTACGCTCCATTTCTTCAAAATATCTTCTTTTGTTTTCCGGAAAAGAAAGAACTGCAGTAAATGATAACAGATTTCTAATTCTTTGGGGTGAGAATGTTTTGTGGATCTAGCACCAGATCATGCAAAAATAGCTCCTATTTATTGAAAATGTTGAATAAACACTTTGTTTACACACATCTCCTGTTGTTGTTAAAGGGAAGCTTGGACTTCCCTCAGGACAAACAGCTGTTCCTGTAGTTTTGTCCAGGAATTTGGATATTTGTTCATTTTGTATTTCCTATTTACACTACTAATAAAAAAAAATTGAGGTCAGTAAGATGGTTTTTATTAAATAAATTAATTCATACTTTTATTTAGCAAGGATTCATTAAATTGATCAAAAGTGATAGTAAAGAGTAAAATCCTGAAAAATCGATCACTTTTTCCACAAAAATATGGAGCAGCACAACTGTTTTCAACATTGATAATAATAATAAATGTT